GAGAAACATAGTCTCTCCAGCGTGTCCAGGGTCTTTCCCGGGGCCTCCCCCGGTGGGACGTGCCCGGAACACCTCACCAGGGAGGCGTCCAGGAGGCATCCTAACCAGATGCCCAAGCCACCTCAACTGGATTTTATCTAACAGAATTTATTTAAAGAGGGCTAAAAAGATAAATACACCCCTCCATTTTTTAAATGAAAATATCAATACAACAGGCATTTTCTTTTTATTTCACAATATCTCATTGTGTTTTGGTCTACATATAAAATTCCTCTGAAATAGAATGGAGCTTGTGAAGGTTAAATTACAAAATGTAAAAAAAAAAATTTCAACTGGAATAAACAAATTTGAGAGCACTTCATCTACTTGCTGGGGTGCTCGTCTGCAGCATTGATGATTCAAATTTGTATATTTGCTTAACTCAATTAATAAAAAACTTTTTCTTCCTTCTTGCTATGCCTGAAACTGTCTTTTTTTTTAATAATAGTAAATGTGACCCATTTTTCTGTGGTCGTTTGAACAGGTGGGGAAGGTCCGGAAGACTGCAGCAAGAAAGAGAGAGTACCACATACTGTTTATGGTTCTGACCACAGCAGCCTGCTACCTGCTGTGCTGGATGCCGTATGGTGTCGTGGCCATGATGGCGACATTTGGCCCCCCTAACATCATAAGTCCTGTCGCCAGCGTGGTCCCTTCACTTCTGGCCAAGAGCAGCACTGTCATCAACCCCCTAATCTACATCCTGATGAATAAACAAGTAAGAAATACACTTTTTTTTTTTTTTAGAATTTCAAAATTGTTTAAATGAAATTCAATTCTTTGTATGTTTGTTTTAACAATTTTATTCACATGGTAAAAAAGGACATAACAGCTCAAATCATACAAATCCTCCATTTAAATATCATTCAAGTGTAAGAAGAAGAAAACTCACTAAATAAAAAAAAAAAAATCAAGCTCATCCTAAGGCTGCTGGAAGTGAAAAAAGACCTCCTACCACACCGTGCTGCAAGTAGCTGCAGACGGGAAATCTAAAATAAATTCTAATCATGAGCAATTAAGTGTGGTCCTGAATCGGTCCTTAGCTAATCAAAATAAAATGTGAAAAGTAGACCTCGAGAGAAAAAAGCAGATTTAAAGAGGAATATCTTTATAAAAGGGTCCAAATGATATTCTCTCTCAACTGACCATGAGTTGATGCCAATTTTTCCATTCAGTTTCCAGTATTTAACACTGCCGGGAAAAAAAGTTCCCTTAAGTGGCGAAGAAAAAATAAAATAAAGAGAAACATTGGTTCCCAAAAAGTCCTGCCTTTACTCATTCCACTTTTTATCCATCTGGCACACAATTTAATGTGAATTTGGCACAATATTAGAATACATGACTAAGATTGCTAGAAGACAAAAGGGAACAGCTGAATGCAACACCAAAAACTCAAATGGTCCAACAAGCATGCGTTTAAACAAAATCATAAAATAAAGCTAAGAAAAAAACCTTAAATCACAGTAAACTACAATTATGTCAATGATCTGAAGGACAAACACAGCAACCACAGTTTAAGACTCAGCCCTAATCCTGACTTCTGCATGCTCTGTGTGACCAAAAGTACAAATGTACAATACATGTAGGACTTTTAGCACGTTCATTGTGCTACAGTTACAATCGCAGCCATTTTAACACCCCTGCGGCAAAGCTGAAAACCTGCAGCCTGCAAAAACCTTTTCATATATCATTTTCTTTAATCTCGTTACTGGGGTTCTTTAACCTGACTGGGGCTGGGTATATTTTATAAAAGGCAAAAAAAAAAAAGGGTGGCAACAAACCTTATTTTTTTCCATTTCTCATCTATACCTAGGGAGCTAGAAAATCAAATAGCATTTTTTACTAGGCATACAATATACTCTTATGGTGCAATAGCTCAATTTAAAATAGCAGTTTTTGTGGTAAGTTTCTGAGAAAAAGAAAAATAAAACAGCTAAATTCATTGATTTTAATAAAAAATCTAACCCTACATGTTCTATTGCTGCTCAAGTTACATATTTAATATTTACCCTTTCAGATTTTCAGCCATTCAGTTTAGGCTGACTTGATCTTTTACAGATTGAATAAAGAATGAACAGCATAACATTTATTTGTGATTATTAAGTAATCAGAATGACTAATGTTTTAACTAATAACTCTCACTAGAGTCTAACACATTGCCCAAGCTAATGTTAGCTTTTAAGCCATCTGCTGAGGAATAAAACACCCTGCTTAGCAGACGGTGACATGGATACCTACAGATTTAAAACAGCTTAATTTAATTAGAGCTTAATTTACAATAACAAACAGTCTAAAACATCTGATGTGTTTTATGAATGATTGATGGAAAATTCTAGTAGCAGTTTTTTATCTAGTAGAAAAGCAATGTGTGAGATTAGCTGGAATAAACTCAACATTTATAAAACCAAACTCAAGTTACGTTTAAATAAGAATTTAGTTAAGAAGAATAGTTTGCTGTCTTCTAGGTTTTGTTTTCTGTTATTAACTGCATTTTACTAAATAAGAACATTAATATATTGCCGTCGGTGAAATTAATATGAGTTACCTGGTAATAACTGTTTGAAATCTAAGAAGTCTGACTTTATCTTGTCTGCCTAAAATTTGAAGCAGAGCACTTACCTGATCATAACTTACAATTTACTTTCTCCATTGTTACATAGTAACATACAATTGTAATCATCATTACTTTTAAATTATATACTTAATTTTTGGGTTTATTAGCAAGGAAAGTTTTTATTGCTACCTAGTAATATAGTGTAACTTGCTATGGTATTACCATGTTATTAAATGGATTATAATGTACTTAAAAAAAAAAAAGTGTTAAAAAAGTGTTACCAAAAAAGTAATACTAAATGATAATATAGTAAAATAAAATACTTATCGTGAATTTTTGTTAAATGAATAATTCTAAAAAACAAATTGTCCCAGACAAATTAAAGTGCCTTGCTCATGAACAGTTAACCGGCGTTTCTGTCAACAGGTTCAGAAGTCTGACTTAACATTTCCTGAACCTTACAGAAAACACTTGATTTCAAAGATTGCTTCAAAACATTGCTCAACAACATTTTAGTTCTTTTATTTATTATGTATACACATATGTTTATATCAGGGCTGAAACTACTAACCTTGATTAATAGATTATTGAAATTATCGTCCACTAATTTAGTAATTGATTAATTGTTAACTATAGTGTAGAGACTGTTAAATATGATTTCAGCCGTCAGAGCGACCCACTTACACAATTGTAAAAAAATCTATTAACATTTTGCATTTAAGATTAGAAAAAAGTTTTTACATGTAAATACGCTCTATCAGGAAATCCTCAAGTGGAAAAGTGGTTTAACTTCGTATAAAATCTTCATTAAGGAATGTTTGGCTATGCGATTATTAATCGATCAATCGAAAAAATTATCAACAGATTAATCAATTGGCAAAATAATCGTTAGTTACACCCCTAATGTATATATACATGTATACATATATATATTGAAAATAAATGTCATGGTTTTCATTTATTTATTTACTTTTGTCTTTTTTTGATTCATTTTTCTGGCCACTGATTTTTTCTGTCTTTTAAACGAAGGGTACATAAACTTTCAAGCACAACTGTAAATACACCTCAAGTGAAATATGGCACCAAAGCAATTGGCAAAGTCTAATACAGGAATTTTCATATAAACTATAGACTCAATACATGTTTTAAAAATGTATGCTTTTATATATAATACACACTAACCCATACCCAGCCCAAGTTGAACCCCAGAAACAGCTTCAAGTCGACTTCTATACTGCAGCATTCATTACCCCTCACATATAGTGCAACAGTTTCACATCTTTGATAAAAAACCAATTGCACAAAATTGCTAAAAAAGCATTTTTCATAGACTTTCATACCTGAGCTGACTTTGAATGTCTCTACAGCCAGCTCCAGATGTGGCACCAATTCACTGTAAACGAGTAAAATGATCTAGACTTTTAATCGCCTCTGTTCTGAGCTGTGGTGCATATTGAAACAATGACCCATGTCTGCCTATAAGGATCAATGCACTTTATCCAAAGAAATATCCCTGCAGTGCATGTATGCAGACATTATAACAGAGGCAAGCTCCGTTAAGGTTTGGCCAAAACAGGCAGTGGTAAAATTACATTCAATAAAGAGTGAACTCAGGGAGGAAAAAAAAAAAAAAAGCTGAGAAGTACATGACTGCAGAAAAATTGACTGCTCCACATGGCATCACAATCAAAATTGAATGGCAATGCAGCTTTAACCCAGAGTGTACTGCATTTGTTTGAATGGTGAAAAGGCAACCGGAGGAAAGTGTTCAGCTGACCACCAGGCACGGGGGGGGGGGCTTTAGCGGTTCTCAGCATCCATTTTTTTCCCCCTTTTTTCGGCCCCTCATTTCCTTTCCTTTAACAAAGCAAGTGCACCCTAAAAAAAAAATCCTACACTGTGATCAGAATGGTGGCTTTCAATCATCGTGCAAAAAAAAAAAAAAAAAATTGTGATTTTTTTTTTTTTTTAACCATCATGACAGCAGTAGCGAGAAACTCATTCCCCATGAAGACATTAAAACAGATTCTGATTATCCTGGAACATATGTACAGTAAATTTGAAAAATCTTTTGAAAAAACAGGAAACTTCAACATTCTTTTGCGAACATTGCTTCTGTATAAAGACTCCTATGACATTCAGAGTGAGTCTTCTCTTTAATTACTAACAACACTCTGGATTATTGAAGTATGAATGTGAAGTATTAAACAGTGGCTTTCAGTAAAGTAGATCACCACCTATACAACTGTAAAACTGTTTTTTTTGTTTTTGTTTTTTTTACATGACTGAAATACATCAAGTTATCAAAAACTGACTTTCTATCTAAAACATGGATTTGTTGCTACTCTAGTCAGCTCCACAGCTAACGTGGCTCAGCTAAAGCAGTTTTTTTTTTTTTTTTTTTACTTTTGTTTTTTTGTTCCCATCTCCAGTCTGTGGTCAAGTTAACTATTATTAAAGAAGACAATTTTAAACAACCTCCATGTTGATCCCTCCCTGGAGGGCTATGGCTTATGCTCTTACTGGGGCCAATTTGAAACGGGTAAGCTTCAGCCTTCTTGTCTGCTGTGCCTTTATTGCAACTCTCCCTTGGTCAGCCAGAAAAAGCCAGTGTATGCGTTTTTATATTCAGGCTCAGAGGGTTTGATATTTCAGATGTCACAGTCGACGGTGCTGAAGCCCGGAAGAGTAGCACGTCCCTTTTTTTGGAGGTCTCTCTCGGGCCCTGTGTTGATGCGCTGGATCAGGATCTTCTCATAGAGGAGGGGGTGGTAGGCCCCCAGCGTGCAGGCGGCATCATAATATCGCTCGTGGTAGTGGCACAGGTCGGACTGCCTCATGGAGGGAATGTACTCGTACACGTGCACCTGCTCGCACAGCGACATCATCAGGAGAATGCCTGCAATGCCAACAGAAAAAAAGAGCACCGTTTAGTTTTGAAATTTTTCCTCACAGGGTTTCTGTCAAAAGCTTTTTTTTTTAGGTTATCAGATGATTTTATTTTTAATGGACCCAGGTTGGTTGGCATGAAAAGTAAGTCCTAAACCTAAAGGCTGTGCTTCCTTTGGCACCAACAAGTGTTTGCACTCACGCTCAACAGCTTTTATATAGCTGCAGAGAAATCTGGGAACACTTCTTTGCACAATTGCTTTTAACTCTGCTCACATTGGAGGGTTTCCAGCCAGAAACCCTCCAATGTGAGCCTGTTGAAGATCATTTTGTAACATTCCTGTTGAATTTTATTTGAATTAAACTAGGCCACTCCTAGACCTCAATCTTTCTTTTTTGTATATTTTTTCCTAATTATTCAAAATGTAATCTAATTTAGATTCAACATTATTTTCACAGTGTCTGGTTTATTGGGTCAGTTTTTTCTCTTCTTACTAGGTAAAAAGATGGAAAACAAATTTCTGTGTTAAGTCAGGTCATGCTTAACTGTTAAAATCTATTGTTTGATTCAAAATAATTCAGTCTGACAACATAGGAAAAACATTAAAGCTAGGAGGTGGCAAATTGTTTTTATTTTCCAGAGATTTAAGAGTAATAATTGATATATTTATAAATATATTCCACCACTGGTGGAAATATGCTACAGAAACCTAATATTAAAAATAAAGACCAGAGAGCTACAGTGCATTAATGATCTTCTTTCCCAAGAGTATCAAGTTAAACCATCATCCACACCTGGAAGCTGCCAGGTATGAGCAAAGCTAAACTTCTGAGCAGCCTGAAATATCATATCTCAGAGCTCAGATCTGATGCATCATTGAAAAAGTTTTAATCTTTTAAGTTTCAAAAGCCTGTTGTGTCAAAATCTGTTTTCGAGAAAACATACACTTCTGTTGTGCTAAAAAAGACAGGGTTGTCTTTCTTAAAAAAAGAAAAAAATAGGTAAATGAAAACAAGGAAGGCTGCAGGAGTTTGCCACCTCCTGTGCCCTGTAGGAGATAATGTTGCTGTGATGTGAAACAAAACCAAGCGCTTTGAGCACAGATCTCTAGTGTTATTAAGCCATCCCTCATCTTTCTGCACCATCCTGCTGATTTCTGTTTGTCAATCATTCCCAGTGTTTGTTGGTATTATAGCTCTAAATGTCTTCATGTCGCTCCCCACCATCTGCTATTCTTTCCCATGTTAACATTTTTAGGAAACTACTCTAAGGGGAGTAGGGCAAACATTCTTCTTGAGTAGGTAACTTTTTTAAATAATCATTCCTTGCTGCAAAAGCCTTACATTACAAAAACAGGAGGGGGAAATGTACAGTATGTAATAAATACGACATTTTCTCCATAAATAAAATTCTACCAAAATAATTTTACAGCAAATATCAGATGGAAAGTTACAGATATGTCGAGTGGAGAGAGACAGGAAATGCTTTACATGTTTACATAAATGTATTTAAAAGTAGGGGTGGGCATTTATCATATTATTGTGATTTATGTCCAGATACATTTTTAAATTCATCTTGACAATGATTAAATTCAACAATCTGTTTAATATCAAGAAATACAAATTAAACTGATACTAAAGTATATGATATCAATACCTTTAGTGATAAGAATCCCAGCTTTTTAAATTGATGTCATGAAGGAGCATATTATTAAAAAATGGGTTTTATGTGTTTCTGCGGCTATTAATGTCATGACATGGAGTCACAGCCAAACAGTTACCTAAAAAAAGATGGTAAAGATGTACGAGTTGTTTTTCAGAATCGCTTATCGTTATCACAATGGTACCACAAAAAAAACTAAGACGCCCAGAATAGATGCATTTATAGCCTGACAGTTTTTTCTGGGGACACTTTTCTCTTTAGAATATTTTTTTTTTTTATCCACAGATTTTCCATCTTGCTTATTTATGAAGAGGTAGTACATAAATAGATTTATTTATTAAGGCAGGATAACAGCAAAAAACATGCATTTTAAATAATTGACAGGCTTCAGTCCAGTTTTTACAGTTCTACATCTTTACCATCATATTTTTTTCTCATGGTTATTTAATGGTGAAACTATTAATCGTGATTAATTGATTATTCAAATTGTTGTCAATTAGTTTAGTAATCGATTTAGCTGAAAGAGCAACCCACTTAGAGCAATAATTATAACATACAAAAAAGATATATAAACATTTTAAATTTAAGATAAAAAACCTGCAGTATTTTTCCATCAATATGCTCTATCAGGAATTTTTCAATTTGCATAGTTTTAACTTAATCTGGTTTAAATTCTGTATAAAATCTTTTATTATCAAATTATTAATTAAATTAATGGAAAAAAATAAAAGAAGACTCAACCAGCAACATAATTGTTATTTGCAGCCCTTTTCTCATCGTCATTCCACTCTATAACATGAACCTTTATAAAATAGCTTTTGTGTTTGCAGTTTCTTGTGTCATTGTATTTACATCAGGTGGGAATTTCATGTAATACACCCCTTAGGAATAGATTTACAGAGAAAGGAATTGATTTTGACGTTGCTTTTTCATCTTTGAACTGCTTCATTAGCCTGTGGTGTTTCTTTGGGGCATAAAAATAATTAAAAAAAAAAAGGAAAATGCTAATATTTGTAAGACTTTACTATTAAGAGACATTAATCTAAACAATTTCCCTGTTTCTTTTTATTATTCACCTTCACTACTGAACCAGTGAACTACAAATATAAAGTGTATTTTAATTTAGAAAACATAGGAAAACCTAAAAGATAATTTTTTATTTTCCCCCAAGAATCATTTGGAAGGAAGGAAGAAGGAAGGAAGGAAGGAAGGAAGGAAGGAAGGAAGGAAGGAAGGAAGGAAGGAAGGAAGGAAGGAAGGAAGGAAGGAAACACAGGAAAGACAGAGACAACTGTGTCCAATCTTAGGAAGAAGGGAGTTTTAATGAGTTTTTTCTCTCTCAGTTCTACAGGTGTTTCCTGATTCTGTTCCACTGCACTCACTGGTCGGCTGAAAATGGTAACACTTCAATGCCCTCCAAGACTACAGTAATCCCTTTGAATCGAAGAGTGTACAGCAACACTGTGGCACAGATCTCTACAGATGCTCTTAACTAGTGTTTCTCCAAGGATTTCTCCTTTCCTCAACATCATGACCGTGGCCTGACAGTCCCCATCAGCAACTTTCCTAAACTATTCCTGTTGATATGCCATCATGACGGCTTCCACAATTCCAAAATAAGACTTTCTGAGGAATTTCAGAGGTCGAATACATGGATTTTCTTCCTCTCTGCTCTGAGACGATGCTTGGTGATATTTTTTTTTTCCTGGCACACCGTCAGCCTTGTGCTTTATCCTAAACGTGTTGCACTGATTGAGGTCATGGCTTTGTGTGTGCAGCTTTGATTTTCTTCCATGGAAAATTGATCAAAGCCACCCATTTTCATGCTAATACAGAAAACAACATTCGGCTGATGTCTTTGGCAACTGGTGGAACCAAGACAAGTGGGCAATAACATGCAACATACGTCCCATCAACAGTTTGTTTTTCTGTGGATAAAAAAAAGAAAAAAAACAAAACAAAACATGATAGCTGTTTACTGAGCTTTCTTTTTAAAGTGTGTTTCCTTGTTTTCATTTCTCATCCCACCTTATTTACTCCTCTCTTATCGAAGATTTTCCATTATTCAAATGAACTTTTTCCATTTTTCTAAAGGTGCAGATGGAGTAAACAAAATCAAATCCCATCTATGTTGGATGCAATGTTCACTTTGACTCAATCCCCCTTTAATTTACACATCATTTTCTACCTATGCGTTACCATTTCTCTCCAACCTGCTTTTCATACCAGTTAGCAAAATGTTTCCAACCCATGTAGGCTCTATGTGTGTATCGGAGCATAAATTGCATTTGTCACATAATTTCAATTTAAGAAAATAAAATATTAAATTGCAGAGGCACTTAATTTTGGTCACGTTATATTTGACATGACTTAGAGAAAGAAAAATTTCTCATCTCACTCCAGCTCTTTTTAGGTAGTGGTGATGGTGGTTTAAGTGGGTTTCATACCCCAAAAAGGAAAGAGAAACATACAGTGAACATGCAGGTGTATGCATGCAAGCAGAAATAAGCACCTTTCCAAACAAAAGGTTAAAGTAAAGTCTTGAAACAATGGGTGCTTAAAAAGCAAGCTTTCAAGGCGAGGAAAAAAAACAAACAAACCCTGGAGTGAAACATCTACGGGTTTGTGCTTAGTGCAAAGGAAAATTGAAATAAAATTGTAATCGCAATGTTGAAAATAATCGCAATTTAATCCACTCCTAATAATTAAAATATATTTGAAAAGGACAGAACTTAAGCTGTAGTTGAAAATGTTTTTAACGTTTAGTTTAAAGCTTTATAGCACAACCAGCGGGACCAGGTATATGACATTTTTTTTTGATAAACACAAGCTCTTGTCAATATCCACCTCTGCAAGTTGGAACTAGGATCTTAAGAAGACTCAAGATTATAAAAGTCAATTCATTCAGTAGTATACAAAGATATATTTACAGGTTGTTTTTCTGTCATATGATCAAATACATTTTAAACATCACATTAGCAGAGTTATAGCTTCTTTAAATTATTGTTTTTTTTTTTAAGAAAAAGAAAATCATAGAAATCATAGGGATCAGCCTTGATAGGTGATAGATGTAAATGAGGGCATTCAGTATTTATGACTGTCACATTTTTCAAAATTTCAAACTGCTATAAAAGTCAACATGTTTACTTTGCAAGTTTTGCAAACACAAAATGAGACACTAACAAAAATACACAAAGAAAAATCTGCAAGCACAGAAAATAAGAAAGAAGGAAGGTGGAAATATGATACAAACACAAAAGCAGTTGAAAATACATAGATTAAAATACACAAACCACATAAGAAGGAAAAAAAATCGTCAAGTAGCAAAAACAACTGTGACTTTTCTG